CAAATCAACGAGCAATAACTAAAGATTAGTTGCTGGACTGAAATACTGCAATACAATTGTATCAAAGTAATATTCCAGCATATTACTTGTTACTAGTTGAAATATCCAATTATCTTGGTAGAAATTTGTATCTTTCTTTCCTCCTCACAAAATCATTTTCTTTTTACACAAGGAACTAAATTCCTGCTATGCGCGGGGTCCGGGGAAGGGCTGGACCACAAGGATCTATTGTACAGCCTTTTCCTGCATTTCTGCAAGAGGTTATGTAATGTCTTCCTACGGATACTAAAAACGCCCTTTAGAGGGGAAAGATAGATTGTTAGTGTGGACATGTATGGTTAGGTTCCATTTCCATATAAATCGAGTATTGATTCTTATCTTTATATATAATTTAGAAGAGATATTTTGGGTTTTGGCGACTCTTGGAATTACTTGGCATTCTTGATTGGCGGTGAGGTAACTATAGCGCAAAGCCCGATGCTAGCAATCACACATTTTGGATAACTTGTTAAAATCATTTCTTTTCCCACCAAAAGGAGAAATATGAACTCATTCCTAATGTGTTTCTTACGGGCAAAAGTCATTTTCTTTTACAAGTATCCCAACTTTACTCTGTATATCACTTGCTTTAACCTCAAGATTTCCCCCACAATATAGTCAACCTTTGAAATAAAAAGTATGGAAAAGGGCCAAATATACCCCTAACGTTAAACTTGGATCAAAATTACCCCTAATTTGGACGGAATGCCACGTGGCACTTCACTAAGAGGGGATGCCGCCTACTACTAAAATCCCGGTTTTTGCAACAGCTGCGTAAAGAGACCCGCCCCAAATTTTATTTACCAGGATCCATACTAACCCACCCCATAACCCGACCCAACTACTCTTCGTAAAAACCCTATTGTAAAACATTTGAAAATGATGTAGAACCAATTTCCCAAGGTAAAACATTCTTCAGGAAAAATATTAATTCATTGAAAATTACACACCCTTTATAGCATATACTCCTACCATATAATAATAAAAACCCTATCTTTTAAATAGAGACATCCTTTTTGGTACCCTTTTAGCCATCGATGAATCAAATAAAGGAAAATTGGATAAATCCAGAAAGATTTAACACTATAATAATGTAATAAAGAGAGGGAAAGGAATTGAATAAATGAACATAGTGATCTTACCCTTTGAGAAAAAACAGGAAAACAGCAACTGAAGCAAAAATTGCCAAAGAAACAAAATTCAACCCATTGATAACAACAAGAATTGGAGCTCCATGCCTCTACTCGTAGTTTTTATGGCTTTTTACTGAATAAAGGGAAACGCACAAGAGAAGAAATGAAGGTGAGGCGGGGCCGTGAAATGAGTATATTATGGACTCTATTTTTCCTATTTATATTTCCTGTTTTGAGTTTTATGAAAGAAGTGGGAAAATAGTGTTAGGATTCCACTTTTCGCGGTCATGCTTCAAAAAAAAAAGAGGGTCCGGGTTAAAATGTGAAAATAACACGGGCTAGTCAGTTTTCGCAGTGAGAATTGAAATATAATCGGCGTTTACAAAGTTATTGAAAAATAGCAACTATTTTGCTACAACACGAAAAGTTCTGGCATAATATACTGGAGATTGAAGCACCTGTGTATGAACTTCCAGCATATTATATTGGAACACCATTACACAGAAAGTTCTAGCATAATATACTGGAAATTGGAGCATCTGTGTATGAACTTCTAGCATATTATGCTGGAACTCCAGTATATTATGCTAGAAGTTCACATGTAAAAACTTCTAACTCCAATATATTATACTGAAATATTTTTCGAATTTTGAACGGTGTTTTCGTTCAGATTTATCTTTACATGAAAAGTAGCTAAATTTCGATTACTTTTGAAATTGTAGCTATTTTTAAATTTCACCCGATTAAAATCCCATTACCATTTAGTTAGTCCACAAATTTTGATGTTAGTACTTGTGATCAATTAAATGAATTTGCACTTTTGATCGCTATAGCTGTGAATCTTCAAAAAAAAATATTTATCAATCATTAAATTATTTAATTACCATGTATTATGAATTATGATAGTATAATACTATAAATATAATATTTTTCCTACATTACGGAACTGCCAAAGACACATATCTTGTTCAATTCGATGTTGAATGTGCTTATCATATGACAATGACCAAAATCAAATTTGCTACTCCAATAACTATGGGATCAAAACTGAAATTAGGCCTCTAGGATAATACACAGTATAATAATTATTTTACATATATAAGTATCTATTAATAATGAATATGTTTGCTGACGTGAAAAGCCACCTTGGTGTTTTAGCTGGTTTTTGGTGAGAGTTAATGGATTTTCTAACTAGGTTTATTTTCTCAATAACTAGTCATATAAAGTTCAGTGATTTATAAGTGATAAAGATTAGTTTAGTGAAATTTATTAAAAAGAATCGAGAATAACTACTATAACTACTTGAGAAATAATTTATTCGATTCTGTAGGGATTTATGTTGGTTTAGAAGTTCATACTTTTCCATTTAAAGTTTAAGTAAAAAAGAATAATCTGTTGTCGAATTACATTTTACTTCATCAAAAGCTTAAGAGCTTCGATTAATTCCTAATTATGCTTGCATAAAAACTACTACGGCCTAGATTAAATATATTGATTAAGGAATAGAGAACCTTTTGGTAGGGAGTGTTTTATCTCCTTTAGTCAGCTTACCCAATATGCATTCATATTAGTCGAGCTCGAACCAATGAGTTTCGAATAGTAGAGAGCACAGCAGGGAACAAACTTACTCACAATCCGCGTGTTTCATGATAATCGGCTTAATGTATGCATATTTTGATATATATCGCCTCATATTTTGCTCATGTCTCGAAGATATGAGATGTATAATATGATGATTTGGGCTAATTGGTGGTATGTCTATGGGTAGGAATCATTCGGATGCAATTTGGGACAAAATGGCCCGAATTGGAGCGAAATTGGGAAGAAAAAGCAAAAAATAAAATTTGAGGGCCACAGGCAGCGCTGGTGCTGCCTGTGGCGCAATTCGCAGAAGCTGGAAATTTTGGGCGCCAGGGCCAGCGCCCCACGCTGCCCTGGACGCTCGAGGCGTGAAGTTGTCATGTTCCAACTAGGTCTTGGTTATTTTGACCCCTAGACGCCCCCGACTCATATAAAAGCCAACCTAAACCTATTTTGGAGGGGGGCGTGACTTTGAGAGAGGAACAAAAGTACGAAACACTCGGGAGCACGGATTTGATCAATTCTTCCATCCCTTTTCTAGTACTCATTGATTTTATGTTTGAAAACCTTATTCTTGATGATTGTATGAACAAGAGTGGCTAAGAACCTTATTGTTCTAGGGTCATGGGTGACACATGAATGTTGATGTTTGAAGTTTAATTTGACGAAGTTGATTTTATCATATTGGGTTGTTTATTTAATATCTGTTTTAATTATTTTGCTGAGTAGCTAACAGTGAAATACTATCTACGAATCTAGAGTTGAACTCGAAAGTGGGAACTCTAGATTACATATAGAATTAAATAGAGCATGTTCTTGAACCCGAGCATCGGGGAACGAACTCGCGATTAGGATAGACATATACCTAATTGCCTTGCTTGGTTGAAATACAGGAATTGTAAATGCATTCTTGTTAATCTTAATTCCATAGACATATAGACATTAAGTTAGCTTGAATAGGCGAGTAAGAACTCGACAGATTCTTATGAGTAACATCAACCCTGTCAATCAACAATTCAGATAGATCAATTAGTCATTTTAAGTCAAGTACGCAACACAATTGTTAGCTAACCTGTGACCCTGGAATATCCTTTCCTACTGATTGTTAATCGAAATTGCTTAATTGTTTTGGTTGGTTTCTAGTTAATTCATTGTTTGAGAGTTCTAGGTAGTAAATTAGTCACTTATATATTTTGTGAGAAATATCTTGAATCGATAAGTTATTTGAGTTTGAATTAGTCAAAAGTTAATCATAAGTCTTCATGGGAACAATACTCTACTCACCACTCTATTACTTAACGACTACGTACACTTGCGTGAGTGTTTTTGGTCGCAACATTTCACATATAAACCTTTATCACCAAAACTATGGTAAAGTGATAAATATAATATATCTCACTGTACAACAACAACAACAAACCCAACATAATCCCACGAATAGGGTCCGGGGAGGGTAGTGTGTATGCAGATCCTACCCCTACCTTGAGGGTAGAGAGGCTGATATATCTCACTGTAATGAATCCTAAAGTTAAATAGTTGGTTTGATGTAAACACAAGAGAGTGATTCCAACCACTCATAACTACTATTCATCAACCACAGAAATGAAATTACTGAATGATAAAATGAAAGTAAATAAAACTAAATAACCAAACAGTTGAGCACAATCTTTTTGTGTAGATAAAACATTGAACTCATTTTCCAGTAAAGGTTCAATAACATTTACACTGAATTCCCAAAAGAAACTACGGAAGCTAAGATTTGACATTTAGTTTTCTAGCATTTTTGAAGAAGTTTTCACATGAAATACCTGCAAGATAACTTCTTTCCAGAAGAAATTCAAAAGAGCGAAGACAAATCTTTGAGAGCTGGAACCGGAGCCAAACTTTCAGTATACTGATAAGCACTAACATGATTAAAGCGTAAAGTATCACCTATTTCACCAGGCAACTCGCGGACTACTTTAGAAGTTTTACGCACTAAGTTGTAGGCGATCACCTTCCCCGGGATAGTAAGCAGTAGGACCGAATCTTCTTCTTTCTCTCCTCGAATCACGGACAAAATGGAAAATGCATATTGTGTGCCATATGATGTCTGCTGAACCATCTCAGGAAATGCTGAAATTAACCGAGCAAGATGAACACGATACTTTACTGACCACTTCCAGGTATTTTTGTCTAATTCAAGCACATTGAATTTTTTGGCATATAGGCTCTGAACCTGAATAAGATGCAAATGGCCACCCCATTCCCCAAAATACCTAATCTTTTCTCTACATTGTCCCTGAGGCCTTGGTGGCATATCTTTCCTTACGACTTCCTCTGAATTAGCATCAAAGTAAATGGAGGAGTTTTCACCAATCCAATGAATTGCACCATTCCAAAACACTCCGCTGTCAAAGCGCATATCATAGGGTGGAGAGAAACGACAACAAGATCTCCATGACTCACTCCCTGGCACATATACACTCACTTCAACATCCGACCAATAGAAACCAAACACTTAATACACAAAGCTTTGTAATAAGGTGGTTCTGAAGGATCAAATATCAGATTATAATAGACATTACTATAATACTTGTCATAGGGGCTCGGCAATGGACACCACTCTTTATTTGCAGGATTGTAAACAATACCAAGTTTGATATTTCCTGCTTCACTTTTTATCACGCACATTAACAGGCCATTGCAAGATTGCATAACCTTGACTTGCATAACCTGAATTGCATCTCCTTTTTTAAAATTCAAAGGGTCAAGGAGCGGAAGAGGAGGGAGGCTAGTTACATTATCAGAAAGAGGAAGGGATTCGACTTTCTGGAGATTGGTTAGGCAATTGTAAAAGTAGATCCCAGACGGGGTTACAGCGTTAGAAAATGCAAGAGTACGACAATGACTAAGCCTAAATTGCATACTGGTAATGATTGAGCACCAAAGTTTGCATACTAGACTGAACCTGATGAGAGATCTTGCAGGCAAACGGAGTAGAATTTCAGATAAAAGATCAGCATTTCCAGCGATGATATCCACTGCTACAATAACAGCAAGTCTTTTATCTATGTGGCTCTCCGCCATTGTCAGTCCAGGAATAAAACAATGAATCAGTCTTCAAACTCGAGCAGACCTGATAGATACAAGCATGACAAATAATTAGCAAACAAGATAAGTTATTCTAGACTGAATAAGACTTTAATTTAAAATTTACTTGCAACCTAAGGTTGTAGCTCAAACAATTATCACCTATAATATCAATAAGCAGGACGAACCTGAACAAGCCAAATGCTAAAAATGACATTACTACTAGGCTAATATGAAACTTTGCAGCACTTGATTGTGAGAGTTTGGGTTTGGGGGGGGGGGGGGGGGGGGGTGTTTCCACTTCAAGCAAAGACAATATCAACAAACCCAGTGAAATCACACAAGTGGGGTCCGGAGAGGGTAGTGCATACGGACCTTACCCCCTATATTGGGAAGATAGAGAGGTTGTTTACGACAAACCTTCGGCTCAAGAAAAGTGAAAAGAAGCAGTGGCAACAAGTAGTAAGAACAGCAAGATACAAAGAAAACCGAAGCGAAAGATAATAAGAATACAACAGGTAGTAATAGCAATCTAAGAATCCACTTCAAGCAAAGAATCAATAAGAAATGACTAAAGATTAGAGCTGGACTGAAATACTGCAATACAATTTTATCAAAATAATAGTAGCATATTTGTCAGATGCTAGCATTCACACATTCTGGATAGATATGTCTGGTATCACAAAAATAAGTGTTTGCTTACCTTAAATTGTTGAAATCATTTTCTTCTTCAACCAAAAGGGGAAATATGACCTCATTCACTTATGAGTTAGTTATAATCATTTTTCATTTACAAGTATCCATTCTCTTGCTTTAACCAACATTTCCACAACAATGTCAATCTTTAAAGTAAATAAAAAATCATAAAGACCCTATGATCAGTAATCTATCATGCCTTGTACGATTACCATATGTCACCTGTTTTTGTACTTAAACAACAACTAGGACTCAGTTCCAGACAAGTTGGGTCGGACTTATAACTCCTCATTGACCACAATACAGGGAAGATGTAATTCATGGAAAATTATACTCCTATCAACTATCAATGGCAGAGCAGGATTTTTGCTAAGGGGTTCAAACAAGAAAAAAAGTATAAAATTAAAAGAAATTGTGGCCAATGAGAATTGAACTAGTGACCTCACAAAGATTTTACACCCCCTGGACCAATAAGTTATGCTTTTGGGTTGTGTCAAGGGGATTCAAAACATAATATATAGAGGTAAAAAACAGATTTTGCCTTATAGATACAGTGTAATTTTTCGGCGAAGGGGATTCGGGTGAACCCCTTCCGCCCCATAAATCAGCCCCTGTCAACTATACCCATTATTTCAAATAATAAAAAGACCGTTTTTTTAATATCAAAAGACATCATTTTTGGCGCCTTTGATGAACCAAATAAGGGAAAATAGTATAAACCCAGAAAGATTTAGCACTATAATGTTACATAGCACAAGGAAAAGAATTGAATAAATGAACACACTACTCCTACTCATTGAATACACAGAGAAAGGGTATTTAGCACACACCCATTATAGCAAATAATAAAAAGACTGTTTTTTTCTTTTAAAAAAATGACATCTTTTTCATACACATTAGCAATTGATGAATAAAATGAAGGGGAAATTGGATAAACCCAGACAGATTTAGCATTATAATGTTAAACAGACAAGGAGAAGAATTGAATAAATAAACAAACTACTCTTACCGTTGGAGAAAAACAGAAAATGGCCAGCAAATTCTCCAAATTCAATCCATTGATAACAACAAGAATTGGGGCCTCTATGCTTGTAGTTTTTATGCTTTTTTTTTTTTACCGAATAAAAGGGAAACAAACGGCGAAGTGGGAAAATGGGATCGTGAAAATAATTTAGGGGTTTAGGTTTAATCTCAATTAAAATTTCGTGATTTAAGTTATATGAAAAAGGCGCGAAAATTTTCACTCTTCCCGGTCACGATAAATGCACATTTTTATCATGAATGACCACATTTTTTTTTAATATATAGAATAAGTAATGTATAACTTGTACTTGGATTTTTTCCAAAGTTCTTGTCCTCCTCTTGATTAAATGAATAATAAGTTGCATTGCAGGTTATACCAATTTTTATAGTTTAAAAAAAATCGATGTTATATACTGATATGTTATTTTATTATTCTAAATCATTATTTTATAAAGTTCATTAACTTTGTATACTTGAATTTGAGTTAGTTTATAGACTTTAAGTTATATGTAGTGATAGTCTAAAAACATCTTGCACAATGACAAAAACAAGCCAAAAGCCAAAAGTTTAGAATTTCTAACTTATGGCTTAAAAGCTATTTTGGCTTAAAAGTCACTTAAAACAAGCACATCCAAACGGGCTCTAAAGAAGCTATGAAGAATAGCATCAAGGTCTCCATCCATATCTGCAATCGTCGTCTGTGGTCAAATTCCAAAGGCGAACTCAAATCATAGGCGGGCGGCTTCAAATCTTCCGTTCGTGATAACCCAACACCAAATCCTAGTTCGTGACGACCTTCAAATTGTTCGTGACGTACTACAAATCTGAAATCCGTCAAGTTCAAGATCAAACTTTCAAGCTCTTGAACCATCATCCGTGAGGAGAAGAATCAGAGGACTACATCTCTTTAGATTTAGAGATATTTCAGAGATTGTAACCCCATCACTTGAAATTGAATATAATACTTGTCGCTATATCTCTTGTCTTGATTATTATTTTTCAGGAACGAAATTTGGTTGTTACAAATTTTGGCACGCCCAGTGGGACTATCTCTACTTCTCGTCTCTTCTCTTCGAAGTTCAAGAACACAGAGATGGCTACAATAAGAAACAACCCTAGATCTGACTCCAAAAGCGGATTGGACGTTGCTATGGAGATCGTTCGGCAAATCAAAAGAAGCAAAGCCGAAATACTAGGACAACAAGTGTTTGATGTGTCGTCCACAACTCATGTTTTTTGTTCATCTTCTCCAAAAGAAGTGAAATCCTCTTCGTACATGCTAGAAGAAGGGAACAACATTGATGAGGTGGTCGAACGAACTTTGGCGAGAATTAGCCTTTCAAAAGAATATAATCATCGGTCCCATAATCCTTTCATACAGAAAGATGATGATTGTGAGTACAAGATTTTTGCCACGTTTAAACTACTCCTACAAAATTCCTTAGAATTAGAATTTTTCTTTATTATTTGAATTTTTAGGAATTAAATTGCATGATTCTGTGTCTTGTTTGCATTTTTGTGTGCATTTTACTTGATATAATTCCAAAAATACAAAATAGTATGCATTTTAATATTACAAAAATAAGAAAAATAACAAAAAATGGTTCTTTGCATTTTCACTTTCAATTTCTAGAATTTGTCTTAAGTTTTCTTTTAAATTAAAGATTAGTTAATTTTAGAATTTTAATTAGTATAATTTTAGAGTCCATTTGGGTTTTTTTAATTTTTATTTTTACAATTAATAAAGTCAGAAATAATAAAAAAAAGGGTAAAAGGAAAGAAAACAAATAAAAGAATTAAAGGAAAAAGCCTAGTACTAATAAATACTCAATTTTGGGCCAGCCCATGCCCAAATCCGCTTAAAATGGTCCAAAAATCCAAACCCATCTCATTTACCCAGCCAAATAACCCCTGATCCGGTCCAGCCATTTTAAAAAATCAAAGCAACGCCGTTTGGTTTACTTCAATCCAAGCCGTCTATCGTCTTCAATCCAACGACCCCTGATGGATCTTGATTTTACATAAAAATGTCTGAAAAACCTAGAAACCCTAAAAACATCTCCCTCTTCCTCGTACTCATTACTCCACCGCCCTTCCACCGTCGCCGCCGGCCGGAAATCGTCTCCGCCGGCGGCCAACCTCTAAATGCCCCAGAATTTACACCATTAATTCCCCTTCCTCTCTTCTTTCCAAACCCCCAAACCCCATCCCTCATAGCCTAGCCAATCTTCTCAAATATTGGATCGAAATTCCGGTGAAAACCCTAATTCTACCAAATCTCACAAAATTAACACCGTGTGGTCTCCTCACTCTCCTCTTTATGAATCCGTAGCCCTTGACCCTCGAATCATCCTTGAAGTTCTCAAATTTTGGATTGAAGGCCGGCTTAGAACCCTAGTTTCGTGAGTTGGGGTTTCTGTTGATGGCTTGACCATTATAGGGTTTAGCCGTGTGTTTTCTCATGGAAAACACATTGTTAAACACTAGTATTGGTCAAGCAATTTCAAGTCGAATCACCTCGGGCCAAATTTCTTTCTGGTAATCCTTTCTACTTCAATTTTTCTTATTATTTTTGTTTCTATCTTTGCTTAGAATTTACCTGATAATCTGCTTAGATTTTGCTTTCTTTTATTGAGTTTGTTTTCCTTTCTCTAATTCAGTTTTGGTTCATGTTTTCGATTTTTAGTTTTTTGATTCCTGTTTCAGTATTGTTCGGGGTATGATACTGATTGGAATAATAGTTTTTATTTTTGTGACTGTGTTTGTTAATAATTCCTTAGGTTTCATTCGTTATTTTCCTGTTAAAGTAAGGCTTTACTGTGAGTTATTGATTTTTCCATTAAATGCAGTAACAAATTGATCTTAGAATTAGAGCTAATCTCAGCTTTGTCCAGGTTTAGTTAGACGATTTGATTTGATTTTAGGATTTGTTAGTCTTAGCCAATTGTTCCAATTCCTTATCTAAATGACTATGGTTAAAAGCTAGCTAAGATAGAGAGGGGTCAGGATTAGTTCGACATAGTTAGTAATTCAGATTAAAGTTCAAGTGTAGTATAGGCTTTTTGATAGAAAGAATCTTTGTAGCAACTAGTAGAAATCTCTGGAACATTCTAGATAGGGTTCAAAATAGAATTTTAGGAAGTTAGTGGCTATAACTTGAGAAAGAAGTCAGGAAATAAGGGACTTTTAAGCAAAAATAAAAATTAAGAAAGGATGGAAAATGCAAAACTGAAAATCTGAGGGCTGCCCTTATCCTTGCCTATAAAAGGCATGTCCAATGCCTTAATTCACAAGTTACACACCCCTGAAAATTCTCCAAAACTCTCCAACTCTTAATTTCCCCCTCAAAATCCTCTTCTTCAAGTCTGAATTTCAAAATTCCAAGAGGTTCAAATTTGAAGTCATCTAGTTCTAAACATTTCTTTAGATCTTAGTTTCTGCAAAAAATCCAAAAACAAACGAAAATACAGTAGAAAAATCCAAAATATATACTGTTACATTGAAGTTTTTTTAGTTTAGTTGGTTAATCTGAATTCCTATTGTTCTGGACTCAATTATAAGTCATTTTGAGATTCATTCAAGTTATTTTGGGTGCTCTTAATTGCTGAAGGCTTTCTAGAGTTGCTGGGTTCAATTTCAAGCTTATTTGGGCTCATACAAGTTGTTTTCTACTTGATCTGCTGATTCCTGTTTGGTTTAGAGTTTCTCCTTCTGCTGTTGGATCTGTTTCTGGGTTGCTATGTGATCTTTTTCTCGTTATTGCTGCTGATCTTTCATTTTCTCATTTTTCAACACATTTCCAGGTACATTTTGACCTCCAGTGATGTATGAAGCTTGAGTTGAATGTATTCTCAAGTGTGAAGACAATTATATTTGCTTTCCCATGAATTCCTGTTGTTTCTGTGTTAATTTGATGTGTAGCGTAATTGAGATTTTGCTTTGTAATAATTGGAAATTTGGACTGTCATTCTAGATTATGTAGAGGCTATCATGTTATTTCAAATTTGATATCATGTCACTGTGAGAATTAGATTAGGATGAGAGGCTGAAATTGACTCAAAAATAGCATGTATATTTTATATTCATTTGTAGTTCATGTTAATTTAGAGTTTATGAGTTGCTTTCAAAGGCAATGGTTTAGAAACAAGCATGTAAACTAAAAGCTTCAACAGTTGTTTAAACTGTATTGACCAATCCTTTAAACTGTATTGATTAAAGCCAAGTGATCGATACAACTCCAGATTGACTGAAATAAATTGCATTGATTAGCATGCTTTCGATTGAGATAAATTGTCTATTCATTCCCCAGAATGTTTAAGCCCAATGTGACAACACCGGTTTAAAAAGAGCTGGGCCTCAAATCATTTAAGGCTCAAACGCTGGTTAGCTCATTATAGGGCCACTCGAGCCCTCTTTTTCCCGGGCTGCGTCCCAAGCTCCAGCCCGCTGGGCCACTCTGCCTTTGCTGAATTTGTTGGTCTGGGCCATTCACATTGAGTCACAAGGCGTTGGCCCAACTCTGTCCAATTGAACTGGCCTTTTTCTTAAAGCTGACCATCTGCTTTCCTTCTTTGGAGTTATTTTGAAGCCTCAAATGCTGAAGGGTAGACTTTGGCAGGAGTAATTTCGTAATGTGGGTTTAGGGCTCGCCGGTTAAGTAGCATGCTTGAATTAAGAGGTTCTCCTCTCATTCGAGCATGGACTTGAACTGGAGGCCCAAATCCCTTAATTACTTTAAATATTAGCAATTAATAATATCAATTAACTAGGATTCTTTAGAAACAAATTTAAATAGAAAATCGTAGTGCGCTCTAGGATGGCCTGTAAATAAAGATGAGATGAGCCTCGCCAAACAAGATACATAAATTGCGGGGCCCTCATTAAATGCAATTAAACTACTTAGAATTCGGGGCGTGCCGTTTAGCGAATTTCACGGCCCTCCGCAAAGATAATAACCCGTTAGTCGCTTTAGGCGCGCTTTTAATAATTTTACCTTCTTAAATACGGGTGTGCATTTCATGCAACACAAATCCAAATCCAAAAACATTGAATAAGAATGTGTCGAGGATCCGGGTGCATTTCATGTGACGTAATCCAAAAACACGTTTTTAAACGACGTTCGCTTTCTTAAAAATTAACCAAAAGCGGTAAACAATCTTAAAATTGCATCATAGGTTGGAATATGTAAGAAA